GTAGTCCAGAAGCTCGCGATTTATGCACCTCTCCATCACTTTACTTATAACAGAAAGCAGAGCTATAGGCCTGTAGTTGTAAGGGTCGGTTTTAGATCCTTTTTTTGGGATGGGCTGTACATGAGCAAATTTCCAGTTTTCTGGGAAGGTGCCGGATTCATAAGATATCTGGAAGAGACGTGAAAGAACTGGAGCAAGCTCCGCTGCACATCTCTTCAGTACAATGGCAGGAATCAAGTCCGGACCAGAAGCTTTGTTGATGTCGAGCGACAAGAGCACTCGTCTTACGGTCTTATGCTTGAATGTTACCTCTCGCATAGTGTGGGGAACCCTTTGAATTGACGGCACTTGGGCGTTGGTGGGGACGTCCATGGTGGAGTTGGCAGCAAAGATCTTGGCTAGCACTTCCGCCTTGGCCTTTGAGTCGAATACAATAGTTCCATCCTGACACGTAAGTGGTAGAAGGCTACTGTGTGAGAAGTTCTTTTCAATCTGCTTGGCCAGCGTCCAGAAAGACCGACTGCCATTGCGCTGCGACATTACCCTGTGCCTAACTTTTATATCATGCTGGTTTTTGGCATTGCGAACCGCTTCGTTATATTTGTTTCTGGACTCGACGTCGGCTTGTCTGTTCTCTACAGTGGGGTTTTGTAAGTAGGTTCTGTGGGCCTTGATCTTCTGCTGGCGAGCTGTGTCACACGATTTGTTGAACTAGCCGTTGGACCCTGGTTTAGGAACTTTCACTGTGTGAGGGATGTATTCCTCCATTCCGACGTGGATAATTTCGGTTATTGAAGAACAGACAGTCGACGCATCCGCGTCAGTGAAACAGACATCTCTCCAAGGAAAGCTAGAGAAGAAGTCTCTGAGCCCCTCCCAGTCGGCATGTCCGTAATGCCAAGTTTTGCGGCCTGTGCGAGTTTCTGTTTCCACAGCGGCTTCTGACCGAAACCTAACCTCCACAACACCGTGATCTGAGTTACCCAGGGGGGACAGGACAGCAGTGCTGTAAGGGGCAGGATGCGTGGTCAGAAAGAGATCCAGCAGGCTACTGGCGTGTGACGAGACGCGGGGGAAAAAAGTAGGGCTCGTCACCAGCTGGGTCAGCCCTTGAGTAAGAGCGAACGCTTCGACTGCACGACCTGCTGCATCGGTTTTATTTGAGCCCAACCAAAGCTCATTATGGGCATTATATCATGCTGGTGCTACCACCTAATGTTGATGTGTTATGGATATACAAAAAAATAATAGTTACTAATAATTCATTTCGTTTCATGGGGCAAATTTCTAAAAAAGTTCTGGAATTCTGGCAAGCGTATTTACAACAGGTCTTGGATTTGCACATAACGTAACTAAGTCAGAGTACTTCTTTTTTGTTATTCTTACAGGTTCCTTATTGAGTTGTTCTAGTTCGATATCGTTTATATTATGACTATTTCTCATCAGTCTTTTTAACTCAATACTGTCATAACTAGGATCGTGGTGGCTAGACTTAAAAAATATTTTAGTGGGCATGCCTTTTGTTACCATAAACACCATAATATCTGTCCATTCAATATTTTGCCCTTTCTCAGTTTGTCGCGTGGACAAAGTCAATAAAATCTGAAAAAGTCATTGGGATTACTAAATAAGGTTGACATCTTCTGGCCAATCGAAAATCCGGATAGAGTTGTGATGGTTCAAAGAGATCTCCAGATCCCTTTATCGCAGTTTGAATTGCACTATGGGCAGAGTCTCCCTCGCTTTGGCCATGATTCGTCTCAAAAAACCTTAAAGAAATTTTCTGGAAATCAGGAAACTTATTAATGGAGTATAGTAACATAGCAGCTACGATACTGTTTTTATTCTGCCCATAACAACCGTCGGAGTACAAGGAGACAATTCTACTGCCTGCAGCAAAATGTTCTAAACCTTTATAAATGCAGCTATCTATTTCGGAAGCTCCTCTCATACTCACAGCCTTGTGCCATGGAAAACAAATACATTCCTTTGTACCTATACTGTAGAATGTAAAATTAAATGTTGCTAGTCTACTTTTGTAATAAATGGCGTTTTCCTTAGATATTGGGAGGTAAATGACTTGCTGTAAGTCGAAAACACCACAGAAAAATGTGTTGTCATCCAAGGCTCTCTTTTTGTCATCTGACCTTAGCTATCGTACCTTTTTCTTCTCTGATATGTGTTTATTGAAAGTGTCCTGTAAATTCTGTTTAACATGGTCATCTCCTTGATGAAAAGTCATACAAAGTGATCACAGATCCTTTTTAGGATGGTGAAATGACAAATTTTGTTTTTTAAATATTCTTCGATAAGTATGAAAACTGGTTTTCAGTTGCAAACCAAAGCTTTCGAGATGTTCTAAAAACATGTTGTACATCTTAGGTAAAGATAAGTCGGAATGAAGATACATTTTTGAAGATGTTGATCTGCAATAGTGAGATTCGACGCATGGGAATCTTCGAATATGATCTTCGATTTGAATTCTATCGTAACTTCTTTGTCGTCCTCCCCTCTTTTGGTCTTCTAAAATACCATTGCCGTTTGTTTTAGATATTACAGTTCTACATGTACGAGATGAAATAGAAAGAGTACTAAGAAACAGTTTCTTGCATACGACGTAACGTTGTCCATTTTCTGTAATGTTCATAGTAAAGGACCGCCTAGATTCAAGCTTTCCGGTTGTTTTTTTCTTGGTAGTAGTTTTTTCCATGTGTCGCGCTATAAATTCTCTCTGTTTTATGAGCTTCCCCAGCTCATAAAATTGTTTAAATATTTCACTCCTATTTGTATCACTGATTCGAAAACAGCATCTTCCGGCCTTCTTGCACTTCTCCCTGTCACATCCCTCTTTAATAGACTTTGGCGGAATAATCTTTTTTGTCGCAGGACTTTTATATTCTTTTCCAGTATCATGCAACTTTTTTGCTAACTTCTGCGCATTGGCTCTTTTTTGTTTTATTTGTGTAATGGGCACTTCCTTCTCTGCGCCATCAACAGTATAATCTTCTGGATTGTTATGATTTCCCATTAGATCTTCTGCAGTAACATGCTGACGAATCCCATGTTGAGAACAAAACTTTGGCTCTTCATGATAATGATTCCAACATAAGAGGATTTCACATTTGTAACAGGCGGCCCATAGTTCGTCTTTGCACCATCGCACTTCACATTTACCAAATGAAGCATCGGCATCTGAATCATCAGAGAAAGAATCATATTCGTTGGTTTCAGCTTCAATCTCCATTTTCCTTCCATAAGCTTTCTTGGCGAAATAACGTAAGGGACCATCTTCGTCGTCAGAGCTACTTCTGTTTCCCTTACCAAAGGAAACACTGACCATTGATTTGTCTTCCACTCTCTTACAAAAAGTACTAAGTGGGAGATCGTCCGAGCTAACTGACAAATCCTCGTCGACTATATCTTCTGATGGCTGCCATCCACTTTCAACCAGTTTTTCGACAGCACACACTTCTTCTGAATACCATTTGCCTTCGTAAAGCAGTTTCACTTTGCAGCCAATAGATAGTATTTTGCACCCAATCAACTTCAGTTCGCCGGAATTGACGACATTTCGTGTTCCATCGGCCCACAAAACCATCCATAACGTATGACGGAATCTAAAACAAATGCATACGTTGAGACTAGGTATTCCAACATTATTTGGTCAATTCATTCCATACCTGTTTATTAGAAATATAACAAATTCCAGTACTAATACAACAATATAACTTACCTATTTTCACTTTATGTATTATATAGAATATAGATAAAATACCTTCAAAACAGAAAAATATAAATAAAACCTGTTTATAGATAAAATAAATCAACTGCCGCCTATTTACGTTTCATTATGGGTTAGGTATAAAATAGCTAAACATAAAACATCGTTCAGTTAGACCACCGAAGGATTATTGCACACTAAGAGACCTATCTTCATTTAGGTCTCTTCGTGAGAATTATATGCTTACCTATGCAGATAGGACATACAGGGGTGAATGATGTGGTTGCATACATCAGTAGATGTATTGCTATGCCACTTCGTCAGATCAAGCGGCATGGAATAACACACCTATAGGCGATTTAGCTCAATTTCCAATATTTTGTCAGTTAGGACACTTCGTGAGAAAAGGGACGAATTGATCCAATAATCTCGATACGTGAGAGAATATATTAGAAAAACACAAATAATAGGTTTCTCCAAATATATTATATGTAATACTCAAACTCTCAACGTAAGAGTTATAGGCGTAGGTGTAACACACGCACTTTTATAAAATTTTCCGATTCCACAGTTCAGTTATACCTATTATAATGTGATACAATATATATGCGTAATATTTCATTATTCTACCAGTTAGTGCTTGCCTCGTTTTGCATTTTCATTAAAAATTATCATCCGCATCATTATTGAAACACTAAATGCATGTGGATTACCATTTTATATGCCGATGAATGTTTAATAGATATGGATCCACTGGAAGTTAGTAGGTTAAATATGGTTATTGATTAGAATTTTTAGATAACGCTGGTTATTCAATTGTTACCCTTCAAAATGCGAGATCATATTCTTCGTATGGTTACTCATACTCTAGCAGATGCTCTACCTTGAATCATGTATTTTGTTGGGGGTAGAGGTCATCCCTCTCTACCCCCTTGATATACGCCATTGCTTCATTTAGACTGAGTTTACAGGCATGAACATCGATTCTATATCTCGAAGAAGTTATGCGAAAACTACGTATGCATGTTTTGCATAGAAATATATGGAGGTACAGGGAAGAAGTACAAAAAAGTGTCCCTATTTATTTCCTTCGTATGAAATTATCATATTATGGTTTTAAAGCTTTTCCGAACCTATATTTCAGGATGTCAGCAAGTAGTATCTGTACAACAATGTTTTATCACATCTAGTTCGCCAACGGGCTCCGTTCTTGGTCCCTATAGTTTATACGTCAGATATCTATATTATCATTAATCTCTTGTAGCGTACGCTGTGATACTCAATTATTCAAGTCTTTCGCGTCATCTGTTTCACAAGCAGCTAAGGATATTAATCCATAAAAGACTGATTTATTCTAATAGAAAAAAAAAATTAAATTCTCTTGTACTTTTCTCTTCCAACAATGGGCGTGAAAACCTAACATACTAACTGAATATCAACATAGTGAAGCTTCATTTTCCTTAGTGGATACAGCTAAAAATTTATTGTTGATTTTTGACAGTTCCCGCCGCTCCAATATATTTCAGTTACTGCTACTGTAAAAAAATGCTACTACGTTCAGAAACAATTTTATTGTAGCAGACATTAGAAATTTTAAATCGCGGAAAAAACTATGTGAATCTATTATATTTCCTATTTTTGCTAATTGTAATGCTGTTTACTATCCATGACTAGATGCTGCGACTAAAAGTAGGTTGTAAAAGTTCCAAAATAGTTAATGTAGATGTATTTATAACCTAAACAGTATTATTCAACTTCAGCAAACATATTTGAGTGAATATCATTACGCATAAAAGACATGTTAGATACTCTGTGGCTACCATAACACACAAAATAGTAACTTCACAATCTCCTGCCTACCTATACAGGAAATTGTAGTTTAGTCAACGAAAGGACATACATTTCAGGTTTAAAAATGACTCAAAAATCTGTTATATAACACTACACTGTTTCATTTATATACAGGGTGGCGCATCGAAAACGAAACAGACGCATTTACTCGCAGCTCAGTTTTTTTTGGAAAAACACTCATGCCCGTCGATTTTGTTTTCGAGGGGGATTACAAGTTTGGCAAAAAATCACGTTAACAGCCCCCTGGGTGGGGATGACACCAACCCTAAAATCTTAAATGGACAGAGGGGTCGAGTGATACCTTATTTTAAAGGTCTTTCAACTCCCTTTATAATGATGTAAAATACATGAGCTTCAGTTTAGTAGTTTTGAAGATTTATTGATTGAAAGCTTAAATAAAACTAATACATCTTCATTAGTGGAGATCAATACATTTGGCAGCAAAGTAATTTAAAAATGAAGTGTGAACTGACCCGTTAGGCAAGTAAATGTTGAGAATGGCCACCATGACTCTCCATGCAATAATAAACATTTTGCTCAAAAGGTTGCCGCACATTTTGCAATATTTGAGGAGTAATTTGAAGGCACTCATTCACAATTCTTTGTCGCAGATCCTCTAATGATGTTGGCTGAGTACCATAGTTTTTGCTTTTTAAATGACCCCACATAAAGAAATCCAAAGGTGATAAATCTGGCGATATTGGGGGCCATTCAATGGCACGTCTTTTACCAATCCATCGATCTGAAAACGTCTGATCTAAATATTGTCGAACTCGTAATGCGTAATGTGGTGGGGCACCATCCTGTTGGAACATCAACCTATTCGCAATGTACCGCCGATCATTCTGATTTTCACTTATGGCGGTTAATGCTGGATCTATGGCTTCTTCCGGTAATTCCAAGTATATTTCACCGGTAAAATTTTCAGGTAAGAAAAAAGGACCAACTAAATGTTCGCCAGAAATACCAGCCCAAACATTTAGTTTTTGTGGCTGCTGTGTATGAACCTCATGATAAATTCTGGGATTAGAATCGGACCAATATCGGCAGTTATGACGATTTACTACGGCATTTAAGAAAAAAGAACATTTGTCGGAAAAGCAAGTGTTGAATAGAAAATGTTCATCATTTATAATTCGTTCACTCATATCTTCACAAAATTGTAATCGCCGATCAAAATCGTCTTCATTAAGTTCTTGTACCAGGGGAATTTTATACGGATGAAAACTATTGACCTTTAGAATCAGTACGTCGACTAAGACCACACACAGTCTCCAATTTGCGGGTACTTAACGTAGGATCTACATAAACTTGCCCTATTGCTTCGTTCCTTATGGGATTATGTTGCGTTTTTTATTGGCGACTGACCCAGTTTCCCGAAATTTAGCTACAAGTTCTATAACATATTTTCGATTCACGTTACTGTTCTCATGTCGCTCATTAAATATTTCTGCTGTTCTATTAGCGCACTGATTATTTCCGAAAAATATTTCGATAATTTCAACTCTTTCTGCTGTGGAATATACCATGGTTAATTTATGTAATAAAGCGTTACAAGTTATTTTAGCAACAAGGTTTGATCAAATCAATCGCCAACTATGTACTAAATTCCTATTTAAAATAAGTACGAGATACTTCCTTATCTTTCTTCAAGCTTTTTTGCCACAAAAAAACGCTCCAATAGCTATTTTCAACAACAAAATAATAAACAAACCATGGGCGTAGTGAAGAAAAGCATTTACCTATTAAGTATATTCTTTTAGTCAAATTTCTTCTGAAAGTAGTACAATCTTATCTGGGGTACCTATTAAAGTCTACTTTAAGCTTTAAATCAATAAATCTTCAAAACTACTGAACGCTCATGTATTTTACATCATTATAAAGGGAATTGAAAGACCTTTAAAATAAGGTATCACTCGACCCCCCTTTCCATTTAAGATTTTAGGGTTGGTGTCACCCCTGCGCAGGGGCTTCACGTGTTAATGTGATTTTTTGTCAAACTTGTGTCCCCCTCGAAAACAAAATCGACGGGTCTGAGCGTTTTTCAAAAAAAAAACTGAGCTGCCAATAAATACGTCTGTTTCGTTTTCGATGCGCCACCCTGTATAACTCCCTTAAAATATACATGTAAATCTATAATGACGTAGATGATAACTTCAAATCGCTTTCTATAACTAATTTTAAGAAGCGTGTTACTTGATAGCTGTACTGCCTCGGATAATGGGGGACCTTTAGTTTACAATTTCACTGTCTCTATGATCTTGTTTAGTGTGCATTATCTAATAATCGTCGGTTACACCCTTGCTAAATAGTTGCTATGTTTTGAGCTCTCCCTCTCAATCTTTTTACTGTTTGAACCACTTTGTTTTTATTAGGTTTTATTATACAGTCTTATGTAGGAATACATTTTTTGTATCTATTCATTGCACAACTGAATTTATTCACTTTGTTGGGAAGGTTGAGTAGAATAGTTTTTTCCCGACTTCCCCTTTTAAATATATATAATGTATTATAATTTATTCCTAAATAAAGACCTAGTATTGTTATTATTATCAATTAATACTATTACTATTATTATTGATATCATGTACTACCTCCTGAAGAAACTTAACTTTGTAGACTTTCATATTCCACATATATAATTTATTTTTTGCACGGACATGCAAGTGTCAAATTTTCAATTTTCCTGGACCGTGGTGACTTATCATTTATCGACCGCCAATGCGCACATCTAGGCGTGCGTTCACGTTTAAGCTAGACGCACACTGCACTTGGCAACTGTTGACAAGGCAAACCGATGGCTTATGTCCAATCGAGCGGATTAATTAATTTGTGGCTCAGAGACTGTTTGATACAAATGAGTTGCAGGATGGATGAACACTGATTCGAGATGTTGTACCAGCCGACTGCCGTAGTGATAATATATGATTTCTATAAGTATAGCCAAAGAGTAGTTAAACCAAGAGAAGACACTTCGTTTCTTGGAATTTCTGTAAATTCCGCCGGTCGGTTCCATTGACATTGGGCTTTGCTCATAGACGGTTCAGTGCCCCCCATTGAGGCGCCCTTGATTTGGCGACTGCGTTATAGATGGCTTGTTATCTGTTGAGGCAGTGTTGCCAAACTAACAGAAATTGTTTAGAAACTGGTACATTTGTATTGAGCAGAAAAAAGTACAGTACTTTTCAAGGCCTTTGGCGGTTATATTATAACGTTATACGAAATAACTACCAACTAACTGTCTTGACCGTACCATTTGCAGATCTGTACGTCTCTAGAGAAATTATACACTGCTCACGTCGATCCCTAACGCGGATGCTATTCTCTCTTGCACATACACTTATGAATTATGTAACAGAGGATTATTGTTTCCACTCATTTTTTGTAAATAATCTTAAAATCTAACACAGACTGTTGACATTGTAGTTGTATCTTCAAGCATTCCGATGCTTTATATCGGAGATCAAGAAGAGGTAAACCCAAATCGCTGCTGACAGGGGCAAGCATATTTAAACGTTGACAAGACTCATACGTTGACAAGAGACTCTTTAGGGCTCTAAAAAAACTTATGTCTGCGAGCTTACCCAACGTCCCCGCATAAAGACTTATGCTGTAGTTTTACCGTTTTACTGTGACCTCCCAAAAACCGTGAATAGGCCTATAACAGTGGTCTCATTGTTGTATATTTCAAACAATCAATTTTCTAAATATGAAGCACACTATTTGATACTATTTGACTTATCTAATAACTAATTAAGCTTTGAATACTATTTGTCATCGGATTCATTGGTTAACGTGAAGAATTATTAGAATGTCGGCTATCTTTTGTCATTGATCTGATCGATACAGTTGCATAATTATTTTGTACCGTGTAACGTTCACATTGAATGGAAATCATATTTAGTACACTGAAAATAATAAATCAGTAAAAAAATGGCGTTGTGTAGGTTGACTCTGCAGGTCTGTACTTTCCATGCAATGACGTTATCAGTTCATAAAAGATTATGTTCAGCATAAGCTAGACTCGCTGAGAACAAAGTCAGACAGAGAGGTTCATACAATTAGCCCATAGACATTTGTTCACTGCCTTACTGGTGGTGCATCTGGAAACGTCGCATTCCCCAACACTTATCTCGATCAAATCTGGCAGCACTTTAAGAGCATAGGAAACACTATATGCGCATCAGAAATACGTTTAATACTATACTAGCACCAGATTAACAACAGTTACCAAGGCCGGTGATCAGCAGTCGAGGCCGATAGGTACGTCATCCATCTGCGAAGAATATTTTTTTAATATACGGCTTGATCTATGAATTGTGAAATATGTCTTGTGCGTAGAGTTACTAGGGTTGGGATTTTAATCTAATGACATCAAACAATTGGGACAAACCCTCTCAAACCCCATGCAACCCGCAACCCGTTTTTTCCTCTAATTTTTTTTCTCAAATGGCCTAAATCTTCTAAAACGTGAAGAAACAAAGTTTGAGCGATTTCTAATTT